CCCACTCCACAGGGGCCCTCCCTTGCACTCACAGAGATAGGTGATATTGATCGATAAAAACGCGTCAACTGAAGCCTTTCTTGGTGTTTTGTGATGCATTTTTTGCTGTACAGATGACTACACAAACACCGCCCGCGTCCGACTAACGCACGATTTGTACACACTCGATGAAGTCTGTACGCAAATCCTCACCAGAGGAACACTCAGACGAATTTCGGAATCGCCCCATCGATACACTAATTTCTGATGGCGTGAACATACTTGATTGGTGGTTATAATAAATAGCCTTACACCTTACACAATCTCGGTTGACAACTGATGCATTCCTCTGTGTGACTCAACCTCGGTTCACGAACTCGTTCCTGCAGAATGTCAACGACCAATTACCACGAGCACATCTCGCCTAATTCAGACAGCCAGAATAGTTGGTCAACTTTTAGTCAAAACATTACAGCTAGTTTTCTTGCTTGCCATAGGTCAAACATTCATTTGAGAATCAATAATGAGGAGTAAGACGACTTCCCATTATTCGCACCATTGAATTAACATAAAACTACCAAACACGTCTTCACACCAGGCAGCTGGAAGACACTTGTACAGTGCTTAATTCCTAACAACGTTCATAATGTCTCAGTACAGACATTTTATGCCAATTTAATGACAACTGACATTAAGATGAGTAATGTGATCAAACTCGGCTTGGTGTCAATTGTAGAAAATGTGCCACGAGATCTAATCATCCACACACTCTGAACAACACCTACTCATCCTGCACTTAAACACAGCCGAATTCTCTTCTGCACCATTACAGACTGTTCCACACTGAATCCTACATGCCAAATTATTGGGGCGATCTTCCCATTACGTTACTTTATTTATGGAAAACAAGTCATACCTCTCACGTCTGTTAGAACATCCTCCCCTCTCTAACTGTCCACCAGTGTGACAAGAACATCAGAAGCATTCGACGCCCTCTAGCATTCTGCCATTACACCGCTGTCTAATCCACTTCCTCCAAGTCTCCGTGTTACACTTCTAATGCAAGCGACTAAGAGTACAATTTGAGGCCTCAAACTGAAGCCCTAATCTGCATACCTCATTCGAGGCATTCAGAGTTCTGCTAACGCAAGAAAACGCTCACCAAGGACTCGTCAACCAGCTTAAAAGCAAACCAAATCTACAGTAAATCGTCATACCAAAAGCTGGTATCTGCTCATCTGACACTGGTAGGTTATTGAGGGGAAACACAAGTCAGACATGAGAATAAACTATTTCATTAATCATGAAAATAAACGAGGAACCATTTGGCTCGATTTTCTGCCATCATCAAATTACGATTTTATCATGTTGGCGAATCCAACAGGTGCCTTTTTTCGTTTGCGTCAATTTGTGTTACGCAGAGTGTCTCTGCCACCTTCGATCATCTTCGTCGTCTTCTGAGAGCATCAGGTCATAAAAAAGCGGTTCAGGACCACTCACCGCGCCTGCAAAAACCGCTGTACAGAAATATGGGTTATGATAATGGCACCACTCCAACCCACCATGCATCTGCTCATATGTGGTTGTTACCTTCAATGCATGGGTTATGATAATGGCACAATTCGACTCCACTATGCATCTGCTCATATGCAGTTATTGCCCTCAATGCACTGACATCCCACGTGCACTCACATAAGCATTTCGCAGAATGCGCGCACACACACACACACACTTGATTAGAAGACATGCCCAGCGCTGTGTGACCTCGCATAATTCAGCCTCCCCACTCAATCCACCAAGTTTTTTCCCAGTTGCATTCATGCGTCCGCTGCATTGCCACTGCCTCATCCACCGTCGTTGCCATCCGACTGAAATCACAATCAACCAACATCCCACAACTCCCCGTTTCCATTCATCCACAACTGCACACAGAGGGCGCCGCGATTATGCGAACTCCAATATCTCCCACAACTCCTATTCACACCAACTGCGATCCCATCTGCTCTTCTACACGCCAACATCCACCCATTCCACCGACACACTGCCACAACCACTTAGAAATAAAATGATGGTACATTTATTTACAGACACGCCAACACATTGCAACGGATGCCCACTTGCACCACCACCACCACCACCTCCTCATTATCAGTCTACGCCACGTCGTTTGCAGATGTAGTCGACAATGTCCAGTGGAGTGGTGAAGTGTTCATCCAGGTGGTCATGCGAAATGCTGATGGCAAACAACGTCTCCATGACGAGTGCCACGTCTATGCGATCCACTTGGTCAAATGCGAACTCCTGCCTCAAATCGGACTTGGTGGTCAGCTGAAAGAAACAACACAGGCAAATGCCAGGGCATGCAACGAGGCAGGCGGTGGTGGTGAGGTGAAGGAGGTGAATAAGTGGCAAGGAGAGAAGCTCACCTGATTGGGGTTGATTTTGGACGAGGAGCAGAGCACGAGGCGCACCATCTCGGTGATTGCCGACCTACTCAAGCCACCGCTGCGAGCGTACCTGTTGACGTCGTAGATGCCGGGTGTGAAGCAGAAGGCACAGCAGCTATTGGAATTCCCTCGAAGCAGCCGGGGGTAGAAGAGACCGACTGACTGAGATGTCTTGAGTGTTTGAGCATTAGGAGCCATGTGTTCACGGATGCCTGGCACTGTTGGAGAATGAGCGATACTGCCTGCACTGCCTTGCCTCTTTTATACATGCGCATGTGCGCACCTGTGGTTCCATCTCTCTCTCTCTCTCAAAACACACACACGCTTGATGTTCATGCTGAGTCGGCGTGAAACCCCAGTTAGCTGTCAAGTGGGGAAAGCAGCGTGAGGGTCAAATGTGACCTTGTTTGTGGTTACCTGCCTCCTGCACCGTCACCCACAACACGCTCTTACATCGTGCCGCATTGTTCACGCATTCTCGAAAATGACATGCTGCATCAGCGTTACCACGATCACCGCGTTGGCATCGTTATGTACGATTCACTGGGGAGACACCCAAATCGCTCCAGTCTCGCCGTCTCAGTTGGTGGTCTCACTAGACACGCAGTCGCGCAGTGTGGTGGTTGTTCAGCTCCTCAGCCTCGTCCTTGTGCTGATCAGCAAATGTGCAGTGTAGAACCAGAATGCTTGTTTTGCCTCATTTCTCCTGCTAGCAATAACTCGACCATGTAGAAACTAATTTTGTGTGTGTGCAACTCCTGTCGTTATTTTGAATTCCATTATGCACCGATCTGATGGCAGAGTGCAGCTGCAATGCCATGAAACAACAGCAGTCTCATGCACATACCACATGAACTTACTCATGGGAATGGTTTAATGCGCGTCATTTGCCTGTCGCCTGTCTGCTATCATAATTTAGAAATATGAGGCTGAATAGCACCAGCGACTCTCTTTGCGTTGTGCTTGCGTTGTGTTGTAGCCTCATTCCCGCCAACCACAAAACATTTGATAAAGTCAAATCAACCACCAACGTTAAACTCTTCTAGTCGTATGAAGTCCGATCTGAAGTGTTTGTTTAACTGTCAGCACCATTCGCCTTTAACCTCCTTACACTCGTCCACACACATAGTCCCACTTGGCTGGTGTGATGCTAGTCAACGGTAGAATCCTCTGTTTCCTGTCTTGCCTCTTTTCTCGAGTTGTCACTGTCTGTTAACTGGCATGATAGTAAGGCAGTGCAAGAAAGACACCCGAGTTTCAACCGTGTTTAGCGCCAACTCAAAGTGAAGCACGAGTGATGTAAACTCCTTGGAAATCATGCGATATATCCCGCATCAACATGCACGTAACAGCGCTGACTGCTTACTAAAAATTGCGCTGTGTTAAACTGACAACTCAGAACAGATTCATTTAGCGATCGCTGTGGTATAGCCACTTGGTGATGGTATACTCTTCTGACAGCAGAGACGTCTACAGTCCATTGGAATGAGTCGTTTGGTAGGAAGTCGAACGATGGTCTGCATTTACCATGGGAAGATGCGAATAAGACAGACTCATGGGCACCAGCATCTCACCGGTGTCTCACTCATCATTCGTTACACATTTTCACATTTACTTAGGGCTCCAGCACGTGTCTGTCTCAACAAGAACAAACAGTAAACGGTACTGCACACCACACCCCACCAGCACAGACTAAGCTTTCGTTTGAAAGGTCAAAGGGAATGCTTCACAATCACAATTGTTGTAATGTCATTGCGTTACTGTTTGTGTTTGGATTGCACCAGATTACAAATCCTGCTACCTTGACAGTGACCATTGTTCGCACCACTGCATGTCCTGCATCACTATAGCAACTAAATTGCCAGAGTTAGCTGAAATAAAAGCGAGTGCTGAATTAAAGCCAAGCACATCGGATGTTTTTCGGCTGAGCTTAGCTATACAGGACCCACCACCGACAAATTGAAATATGTTATATGACCCGATGCAACAAAACTACTCGCTAACCACCATGTACATGGTGGAATTCAAAATAACAACAGGAGTTGCACACACACAAAATTAGTTTCTACATGGTCGAGTTATTGCTAGCAGGAGAAATGAGGCAAAACAAGCATT